TAGGCCAGGACGATGTACTTTCAGTCATGTAGAGACTCCCTGGTGGTGCTGAGGGTGTAGCTGAAGGCCAGGGGTAGCGGGTTCCCATTCCGTAAGCACCAGGAGAAGCCCATGCATCCTCTTGCAGTTGTACACTCTGTCCTGATTGTGGAACACTTCGATTACCATCCCCATAAGAATAATGGGGCAGAGTCATTCCAGGATTCTAGAGTGAGATGGAAGGAAATATGCTGGTCAGTATTTTTAAAAATAACAACAACAACAAACTTAAGTAATAAAAGTATTTTTAATACAAACTTTGAGATGATTCTTCTTTACATAACAGAGTTGTCATTTGGAAAATTTGTCTTTGTCCTTCAATGCTCTGTAAAACTCCTATTTTTTAATATTTATGAATATTACTTTCTCCATTCACCTTAAGAGGAGTTCTAGCATGTCTTTATGTTTCCTTAAAGTATAAGGGTCTACTTATTTATAGTAACCATGGGACAGAATTGGAATGCTTCACGCCTTGAATTTCATGCCTGATTTCCTTATGACTGTCACCAAATATATTCTTAAAATATTTCAAATCAGGGAGCTCTGGTGGCCTAGTGGCAAGACGCTGCACTACAATCCCAGAGGAACGCGGTTCAAATCCACCAGATGCTCTTCTGGAGAAGGAGGGGGCAATCTCCTCCTGTACCAGTCAGATCTGATTTGACAGTACACGTAAAAATAATTAAAAAAAAAATAATTTCAAATCAAGTTATCTTAGGTTTGATGAACTTATAACTATTTTGAGTTAGTTTCATTTAGCTCCACGGCACTAAATATAATCTGCTGAACAAACAAGCACTTCAAGTTTGTACTAGAATATTTTCCTTACGTAAAGCTGTGAATTCAAAGCAATTCTGGCACTTAACAACAAGAATGACTGATGAGGTTGAAGTTTTTTTTTAAAAGTCTTTTTGACCTTTTGACTATATTGCTCTTTGTTATGATATTATTTGCCATCGAGTTAGAAGTGACCCATAGCTGGCCCTCCAGCACGTTTTCAGAAGCAGAATATTACTCAAGAGGAGAGTGCCCATATTTCTCCTGTGGAGCAGCTATGGATTTGAACTATGTGCCTTTCGGTTGGCAGTGCAGCACTAAGCTACTAGAGTCCCTATATATAGTCTTTAGTAAATGGACTCTTTTCTTAATCAGCACTATGTAAATTTATATTCATCTACTTTTTACAATTGAAGAAGCATTTTTTTTCCAATATATAACACCTTACCTGTGAAACAGGATATCCTGGAACCTGTCCCCGAAGAGCAGGCATTTCAGTCTGACAGTCCTGCTGGGGATAAAGCCAACGAGCAACTGGGGTTGGACTGTTACCAGGTGAACGATATGTGCTTGGGACTTCTGTGGAATAACTGGTCGGAGTATATCCAGAAGCATAATAAGTGCCAGGGTATGAGGCAGTATTTGCCCCAGGGCTAGGGGTGTATGGTGAACCATAGGCTCCGTTTGTGTAAGAATTCAAACTCTGGAAAAAAGTATGATTGACAGAAAATGGTTAAGTGAGAAGAGCTGAAATTCTACAACTTGAAAACGCTGGTAAGAAAAAAAGAGATTAATAACTATTGAAAATATGAGTCACCAATTTTTAAAGTATTCTTTCTCTCATATATTAAAAAAATTATATGCCATATATTAAGCTTAATGTCCTAACAATGAGAGAGTATTTTCGATGAGAGATGAAATTATAAAGTGGTGGCTTTAGTAAAGTATTACTTAAAAGTTTCTCACACATACATATAAAAGCAAACAAGAACTTGTACCCATTGTCTGGGGAAGGAATCCTAGATAATTTAGCAAACTGATTAGAGAAAGAAGAAAATTATCATTGTACAATAGCAAGAACAAAGAATGCTTTGCCACAGGCTCTGCGGTTAACCTCTAGGCATATAAACTTAACCTGTAGGGTTATCTAAAAAATGAAATGAGCTGACATAAACAAAATGCTCAGCACAGTGTCTATCATATGTTGTTGCCGTGTGCCATCGCATCACCTGCAACTTATAGTGACCCTGGGTACAACAGCCCTAAACGCTCCTCTATCCTGTGCCAATCTTACTGTCTACAACACATCTATCCCCATTACCCATTCACTGAATCAATCCATCTCATCGAGGGTCTTCCTCTCTTTAGTATGCTAAATAAATTGTAGTTGTTTACTTTATCCTTCTGGCAATACAATAAAGCCTTTGAAATCCAGAACCTGAGTAAGACGTAAATATATCAGAGGAAGAAAACACAAATATTTCCACTAAAATGATCACTTCAGCATAATAAATACTCAAGTGAAATCTGGAATCTGATAGATATGGACAGAATCAGGAAACAATTGATTCTGCAACCCCAAATTGATGAAATGCAGATGTAAAAACCACATAGTTCCAAGAAGGATAAGAGTCAAAGATGAAGGTTGTTTGATTACACTTCCTTATCCATGGGTACTGCTTGTGAGTACATAATGTGCAGTGCCACTGTTCTCAGACCACATCTACTCTTTTCTTTTTGCCTTTTTTTTGTTTTCATTTTTCTGACAATTTTTTCCAGTGAACAATACCTGTAAGTTTCTAAAAGATACTAGTAAATTTCTTTATTTTCATATTTAGCATAAAACACTCTTTTCTCTTGTCTTAGAGATTTTATTCATCTTTAGGGTTGTTCTAGTGTTAGCTCTTAGCAAGTCTGATATACTTTATTACAATTTTTAAAATATACTTCTTCATTTACTTGAAATTATTTCCTCAAACTTTGTTTTGGCCAAAAATCAGGGAAGTAGTTCTTCACTTAGTATATTAATAGGTGTACAAAAGCAAAAAACATCCTTCTCACAGGATTATTTAGTCTTTTAAGAATTATACTGGAGCAAATTCCATCTACCACTGGGTTGTTTTACAACTCAGAAGTCCTCATGCAAGGCAGAGGTGAAGTAAGGAAATGCTTATGAGGTTTTCCATCAATTCCAACAACTAAGAAATAGAAGAGTTGGGACCTTAGAAGGCTTTTAGGACCAAATAGTAGGCTCTTGTGTCCAGGAGAAAATGAATATTACTTACCAGTAATGTTAATGCTCACCCACAGCTCTTCTGGGAGGATCTAAATCGTTGAAGTGTCCTCCTTTGTTTCCAGCTGGGAGCTGGGAGCTGGGGCCTGTCAGTCCTGTCAGCCACCAGGACCTGATGTGGGCCACCATTGGCCAAGTGTCCTTCAGATCCACACTTAAAGCAAGTGAGTGGGAGCTTCCTCTCTACTCCCTTGCCTATCTGTGGCTCTCATCTGTGACACTTGTACACTGAAGTGGCCCAGATTTCCACAGTGGAAGTGATTCTGACCTTCTTTATTACCTTTGGGTGGCAATGTATATGAGTAAGATTTCCTTTTCCTGACACAGGCCCTAAACTGGCAGCAATAGCTACCCCAATAATTTTGGCCATTCTCTGGTCTTTTCTCTTCCCTCTAGATCCCAGTTGTTAAAA